ATGGCATTCAATTATAGATTGTGGCTCATAATCATCTGTCATAATTTTATGAGCAACTGAGAATGCAAAAACATCACCAATGATGATTTAATTGGTGTCCCAACTTTCATAATAATATGCAATGGAATTCTCAGTATTCCAGGGGTTAGAGTTCTTTGCATTGGTCTGTGCCTATTTGGGGGCAATAACCTCTTTAGGAGTAATCATAACATCAGACTCTGCTGGAGCATGTTCATGATTATTTCCCCTCATTTTCGAGGGACAACTTCTTTTGATCCTATCGGTCTACCATACTTCAATTGTAGTGATCTTGATTCATTTCAATGTGTCCTTCAGGAATTGCTATCCTAGCTAGAACATTTGCAGTTGGAATATGAAACTTTGTTACCTTAGAAGCATCATTAAATGCATCATAAAGTCTATTTGTCATATCCTGCAAATGAATTATATATTGTACCTCATTTTCACATTCACGAGTTCTTGGGTCTAATTGAGATAAATTTGTTGCATTCCAGGAGATATCCTCAACTAGTTTATCATGTTTTGGTGTATGATAGGTATGTGACCAGTGTTTGGTAATGCGCAACAATAACACACACTATTATTAACCACTTTCTTTTCATTTGCCAATTTCATTTGCTTATTTCCTTTATCATGATTTTGGCCTAGGGCGGTTAAATTTTCTACCACCCCTACGATGATAGGTTCTTTGGTTGTGATCATAGCTCTTAAAACGACTGGAATTTGTCATTGAATTAGCATATGCTTCAGGTGATGCTTTTGAACCCGCAGGCCTCAAGTCATAATTTTTCAACAATAACTTATTAGTTTGTTCAGTTGTCAAGAACACTGAGATTAACTCAGAATATGTGGCAAATTGGTGTTGCCTATATTGTTGTTGCAATATTAAATTAGAAGCGTGAAAGGCAGAGAAAGTTTTCTCTAGCAATTCTGCATCAGTTAGCATTTTACCGTATAACTCAAGTCGCGAGAATATTAAATAAAGCAAAATTGAAATCAGACATTGATTTAAAATCTTGCATCCTGAGATGCTGCCTGTCATACTGTGCTTGAGGAAGGATGACAGTCTTGGTATGTTCATACTCATACCTATCATTCAACCTCTTCCACAGGATCTGCGGGTCTCGAACAGATAAATATTGAGTCTACAGGCTCACATGCAAATGACGACGAATAAAATTCAGTGCATTTGCTTTATCCTTCTAATTAGAAGTTCCAGTTTTTGTAATAATATTCACGAGACCTTTCCCTTACAAATGCATTTCCATATCAAGGCACCAGGGCAAATAATTACTTCCACTCACTTCAAGGATGTGGAATTTGGGCTCTTCAATGTTTGCCATAATACTCCAACTACTACTTCAGGAGCAGAGATAATAAAAAAAAATGGGTAGAAGAAGATAAATTGAAATCGATAAGAAAGTACCAACATTGGAGATGAAAAATTTCTCTTCCCTTTGTGGATATAATAACAGTATGATATAGCAGAGACTATAGTGCAGAGGGAGAGAATAACAAAAGGAAGTGATTTTATGATAATGAGTATACAACGGTGCTTAGGTCTCTTATATGGTAGGGTAGAGGCTATCGTGCTGACAACTTGTTATAAAATGAAGAGTAAATACCATTTTTGGTCCCTAACAAAAAACACGGTCCCCACTTTAGTCCTTTACAAAAATAAATTAGTCAGTTAGTCCCTAACAAATTCAAAGTTGACCCATTTTAGTCCTTTTGAGGGACTAATATAGGTCTTTTTTGAATTTGCGAGGGACCACGATTTCAACTAAATGGGTCCACTTTGAATTTGTTAGGGACTAACTGACTAATTTATTTTTGTAAGGGACTAAAGTGGGGACCGTGTTTTTTGTTAGGGACTAAAAATGTATTTATTCTAAAATGAATATAAATATAAGAAAAAGTAGTAAAATTTCAAAGAGAAAAGAGTGTTTTGAAAATTTGATTACAGAAAACAATACAAAAAGCTCTTATTTATAGATTTTTTTTTTTTTTTTTTTACTATTTGCACAATAACCATGAATAGTAAAGCCTCCTCAGAATAGTAACCGTATGAACAATTCTGTATGAACAGTATCATATGAATAGTAACCTCACGAATTTTAACCCATATTCAAATGGTTACACTATTTATAATAGATAGGGATATATAGAAGTGAAGAAGTGAAACATCCATAAATGTTTTTGATAACAGTTCCATATTTATTATTAGTTTTATTTTAAAAAATTATTCTTCGGCATAATGTTATTTTATTACTCCTATGTGACTAACTTTTTTTTTTATATTAATATTACACCTCTGTCTTGTTGTCATTTAAAAAAATTTATTAAATCTTATCATTAGTACTATTTGTGAGCACTTACACTCTAACATTGTTTTAATTCATTTTGTTATTCATCTTTCAAAAAAGTTAATAACTTTTAATTAATATTTAACACTGGTTATTTTTATTAAATATAAATGTTTACTTCGCTATGCAATTTTCTTTTATCTATTCTATTACTAAAATAATTTTATTTTAGTAATTAGGGTGCAAAATTTTACAGCAACACATAGAAAGTCAGGATACACATACAGATCCTGATTTTTTTTTTAATACCAGAATCCGCATGCGAATTCTAATGTAAATATATTTGCTATAAAAAATTTCATCTGCTGTTGCTGCAGAAGTGACAAACCCTTTATTTTATACCTATATTGACACCGTAATATGTACATTGTCTATTTTTATTAATTGTACTATTCCATTTTCTTTTAAAATTAACATAAAGGTTATTCTGTATGTAGTATATTTTTTTTAAAATAATTTTTATTTTATTTCTGAAGGCAATTTTACTATATGTTATTACTTATTACCATAACATGATTAAAACTTTTCTCACACATTCATATTTTATCTTTTTTTTTATTAATTATATTATTCCGTTTTTTCTTTTAAAATAAACATGTATTTAATGAATGTTAATTTTCTTTTAAGATAATGATATTAACGAGTTAGACTCTAGAGGACGAAGTTAGGTATTAAGAAAACAGTTTGTTGATTTAATAAGTTACAGGATTAATTTGGAATAAAAGAATATTTAAAAGATGAATTAAAAAAAAAACTTACATAACAACTGATTGAAATTGTGTTTGCAGACGTTATTGGATTTTTTGTGTGGAATCAACGATTCCGAGGAATATTTGGTGAACAGGACGAAGATGATAGTCAAAGCTGGACAATCTTAGATATTTTTTATACTTATAATTACCAACTAAACACACAGTGTCATTGGGATAGTTTTCAATATCCTCAAATTCCATGAATGAAAAATCATTGATAGGAAGGTTGACATCGACACTCGGCGTCACAACAATTCTTAGCTTAAGTAAGCATGTACTCATGTTGCGTTGGCTTAAATTTTTCGAAATTAAGGCCAACACCACAATTCCGTATGACATACATTACACCCTATGCTAGTTGATCTTTTATCTTTAGGGAACCCCACACAGTCCCCTGAATTTTACCACCATGTTATTACAAAAAGGATGACATATAAGCAATGTTTAATAGTATAGGAATTAAAAAGACTAATCTACTGTTATCAAAAAAAAAAAAAAAGACTAATCTACACGACAAAAGTGCATAACAAAACTTATATATGTTCATCTATTAAAACCATCTCGACATTGTCTCCTATCTCAGGTCGATGAAACCCTAACTTTGATGCTCCATTACTCTTTAGATGGTGTTTGATCACAGATGAGGTCAAATCTCGTAGATATTTTAATAGATATCGAAACACAAAGTTTGATCAGCGAACAAATGGATCTATCCTATTTAATAAATAAGAATGAGTCAACCATGACCATGAGTTAGCCATGTCCTATTTAATAAAAATGAGTCAGTCATAAATCAGCAATATCCTATATAATAAATAAGAATAAGTCAACAATATGATATCTAATAAATATAAGGGAAATCATTTTCTTATGTAATAGGAGATAGTTTTCTCATGTTGTGAGACATCGAAATTCGTGCTATCTTTTTAGTTTTTCTTCTTTTTTAGTAAGTGGTGGGCCCCACCATTTATTGTGTCTATGACATGAGAGATGATATCTCATGTGACATGAGAAAAGAGAAGCCCTAAATATAATAGATAAATATGAGTCAAGCTCATATCATAAGCTCAACTTGGGAAGAAAAACTTCAGCTATAAATAAGATATTGTTGACACATTTTTATCTTTTGTATTTAATATTATGATACACAGAAGGATTTATACTATTATTTTTTATTAATTTATTATTAATATTATTACTAATTTTATTATTACTATTTTCTTAACCGGTTAAATGTGAAAACAAAAATGGTTAATGGGATTTAAAGTAGACACATGAAATTTTTGTCCTCTAATGACTTCTATCTTCTAGTAATAAAATTAAGATATAATATGGTTTGTTAGGATTTAATTTGATTTTAAATAAATAAGTTATTTTATTTCAATTTGTGTTTTTACTTTTTCATTTTATTTCCTTAACTTTACTTAAGTCACTCATTAGTAAATTTCTTTTGACTTAACTTTTACTAAAATATATATAAAATAATAAAATAAAAATCTAATTGATTCCATTTTTAATGAATTTTAAGCATAGAAAATATAATATTTGATTCGTAATTGTAATTAAGTTAAGGGAAAAATGTGTATCATTCTAAAGGAGGTAAAATTATGTTATTTTAAGTGAGAGAAAGAGATAAATAAAGGAGGAGAGAGAGAGTGGACAAAAAAATATAAAAGTGTAAGTCCTGCCTCTTTGTGAAAGTGAAAAGATATAAGTTGTGTGATTTAGAAGGAGAAACACTTTTTTCCTTAAATTAAATCAAATTATTTACAATTTCTGGAAAGCGAACCTTTGATAAGATCAGTGATCACCATATCATAATTATAAAAAAAAAAAATGCATAATCCACCAGATGGTCTAAATTGCTGATTTTTCTGTCACTGCCAACAGAAAACTTATCCAAGTCCCAACAGCCACAGGTCACACAGCAACTTGTATTGTATTCATCTTCAAATTCCACTTCCATTTCCATTGCATCTTCCTTCAAAAACCTCTGAGAAACACCAAACATGGTTGTGGTGGGTGTGTCCCAAGCCATCTCAAGCACCACCAGAACCCAACTCAGAACCCCATCTTGTTTCAATTCCCACCCTAAGAAACCACCAAGCTTCCTTCTGGGTTCGACCAACCCTCTTCAAACCACCATATCAATCTTCTCCAGAAGGAACCAAAGCCACCAACACCACTGTTGCCGCTGCACCGTCAATTCCAACGACACTTCTCTCAACTGGGATTGGAACCGATGGTGCCGCCATTTCTCTGAAATTGAACAGGCTGAGAGCTTCGCCTCTGTTCTCAAGGTACCCCTTTTTGCTCAAAACGCGCTTTCTTCTTATATAAAGGAAATTTTGTCAATAAAGTTATTATTTTTCAACCAAGTTTGCATTAAACAACTTTGGAGTAGTGTTTGTGAGAACTGATTAGTGGAATGCAATGGAAATTTTTTTAAGGGTGTGTGATGTTATTTTGTTTATTCCCAATAGGGTTAGGTGGTTTATATATGTAAATATTTCATACTTATATGGTTTGTACTCTATACCTATCAGTTTCAACTTGAAGATGCTATTGAAAATGAAGACTTTCAAGAAGCAGCTAAGTTGAAGAGGGCTATAGAAGAAGCAACATCCAAGGACAGTGTTGCTGAGATTATGTCTCAGTTGAAGGTCAGGGCAGATTTTGTCTGAATTAGTTAGTTTCTATTTTGCTGCTTATGGTTTGGTCAATGATAATCGCATGATTTGTTTGTGTTGCAGAATGCCATAGATGATGAACGCTACCATGATGCTTCAAGATTATGCAGATACACGGGAAGTGGACTGGTACTTTTCTTGGTTGCTACTTTATGCTCGCCATTATTCAAAGCATTCCTTTTGCAGTTTTTTATTCTCACATTTGAACCTTCATTATATATAGATTCCCCCCTAGAAGATGTATCTTCTTTCTTTTCTGTTCTTCTAATGTAATTGGTTGTGAAATCCCACAATAATAATTAAAAAAAATCACTCAGTTGAACACACAGAGTTCAACATGGCTCACCAAACTTGACTACGTCCATTGGAGAAAACAACTAAGTTATCCACTGCATAAAGCAACAGCTTACAATATTTATTTCTCACAATGTCTTTATCATAAACTCAAATGCCTCGTGCAAGTTACAACCTAAAACTCTCAGTCTGGAGTGAGGAGCGAATGGAGAGTTACAAGTGTGTTTCGATAAAAATTGGATGTGGAGGGGATGGCTGGTAACCCTCCAAAAACTTCTTCCTCACTCACTGATGAGTGATGACTATCCAACTAGTTGATTTTATGTATTAAAAAAAATGGTATTTTCAAATTTCGTTTTCATGGAGGAGTAAATAAGAGAGATATTTGGAAGAAAGCTTGAAATTGTCATCATTTAACATATTTATAAGTTATAACTAAGAAAAAAATTGATAGGTTATATAATAGGATAGTGACTCCAGATTAAAATGCTTTAAAAGAGATGGTGAACTAGATTGAGAAACAAGCATGTGTTAATAAACTTATGCAGTTGTCCGGGAATATGCTGAATACAGATGAGTCCATCTGGAAAATGAACTTGTAAATGGTATAAACAAAGCGATAGTTGTGACTTGTGTGTATTGATTGCGATGCTATTGGCCTCAGCTTGTGTTCGTGAATCATACTCCCTTAATGTCCATTGACCATTTTGATGTTTATGTGCAGGTGGGTTGGTGGGTAGGGTACTCAAAAGATTCGGATGACCCCTTTGGTAGAATAATACACATAAGTCCTGGTATGGGTAGATTTGTTGGCAAGAGTTACAGTCCAAGGTATGATCTTTCTAGTTTGTATTTTTCCCTATGGTCATTGTGGAGCACTGCTTATTTCTGTTTGCTACAGACAGTTGATCACAGCTTCTACTGGGACACCAATATTTGAAATTTTTGTCGTAAAAAATGGTGACGACACATATCATATGCAGGTATTATTCAAAACTTCCAACTAAATGATACTTGTTTGTTTGTGACTTCTAACACACTAGGGGAAAACAAAGTATTAGTTCAAATGTTGATTCATGGATCATGGATGGTTTTGAATTGTTTCAATCTGAAAGAAGAAACTCGTTATGATTCATGACCCACATATTTATCAAAAGAAACTTAATTTTGGGGTTCTAATGTAAATATTCAGAAAATAAACTGAATATAAAATGAGTTATGGAATTGGAAGATTTTTTGAGAAAGAATGTGAGCTTTTGTTGGAAGTTCATCATTTTTGGTTGGCATTTCTTTGCAGTGAGTCTCTTGTCCTTGATATCTTCCTGATTCTGAATAATTAATATTAGAAGTATTATGTAATGTTTATAATGTCATATTTGGCAACACAGGTAGTGTACTTGCGACGAGCTAAAGGTAATTCAGTGAGTAACCCTCAATCTATACCAGCTAAAAGCACATCCAAACCTGAGTTTGAGAATGCGTCTTCAGTTGAGACGCAGGAACATGAAGAGAAGGTTGAGAAAAATGATAATAAAAACAGTAATATCGAGGGAGCAACTGAGGAGGGCATTAAAAGTGTCCTAAATTTTCTTAAAGAAAAAATTCCAGGATTGAAAATCAAAGTTATGAACATCAATGTTGGAGAGGAAGCAGCTGAGGACAACGATTCTATTAAGCAATTGATGGAGGAAGATAGTAATAAAACAAGCTCCAGTGAGAGTCCTGAAGAGGAAGCTAATAATCTGGATGAACCTGATGGGGTCACTCTAGAAGGAGATAGTGATGCCTCAGAAGAAGATAAGGATTTGGATACGAAGCTTTTTATTGGTGGGGTTGTACACAGCAATGAAGATACTCCTGTCAAGGATGAATTTATTCGTCTTCCAGCTGAAATAAAGGATATGGAAAGGGATTCTTTCCTCTTTCATATTCCTAGGAGAAATCTTGATCATGATACGAGAGAAGATAAAGTTCCCAATATCAAAGTGGCAGCACTAGCAGCACAAGGAATCTCAGAACTCATGCCTCCTGATGTTGCTAAGGCATTTTGGAGTTCTGACAAAGTCTCTTCTAAGGTGAGATTGAGATAAGAGATATTTAATCGTTATTAAAATAAATAATTATGCATTTAATTCTTTTGTTCTGTTAAGTCATATACTAAGTGATAATTAAGAAACACCTGTTATGTTTATGATGATAATACTAAGGTAAAATTTTATTCATGAGAAAATCATGTTGACCGGAAAGATTTTTCTTTTTAAGAATTACACTAACCTCCCCCAGACACTCTCTATAGTTAAATTTTTGTGTTTAAATTTATTTCCCTGACACATACCCCCCTGAAAATTCAATTACACAGTATGTCTTTGTATAGTATGAAACTGGAGGATTGTTGTATAAATTTTGTAAACCTCAAGACAGGCTTTGCATAATTTACTTATTTTTTTATTGACTTTTGGTCTGCCATTTATAGATAAAAGTGTAGTACTGAATAGATAATTCTTCATTTACTGTTTATAGATATAATTTTCTAAATAAAATGCATAATGAATGCATAGGTTTTACTTTATTTTATCTGTAAGTTTTGCTTCAGAATTGTCTAATTTTACTATCTTAGTCACGATTGCCAACTGTATGTATACAAAATGGTTTTCCTTTCCTTGAAAGGATGGTGTTACAGAAATAAACCATTAATGTGGTCTTCACTAATATCTTAAGTTTTTGGATTGAATTGTGATAGAGACTTCCAGAACCAAAAAGACTAAACAACATCGAACAGTGAATATTGGTAGCTTTTAATATATGTATGGAATTACAAAGAGACATTACAGCCTAATGATAGTAAAACAGAGACAGCAATTATAGGGAAAGCAAAAATAACAGTGAACATGGAAAACGAAATACACAATGCAGAAAGGAAAATGATATTGTGAGACAATTGGAGAGGCCTCACTCTCTCCCAAGTTCCAATTCCATTCGAAGATTTCCGATGCCTTACACCCATGCACCCTACCCTATTTAACCAACCAGACGCTCCTCAACAGCCTCTCCAATTTGTTATCCACGTCAGCCACACCTTCTAACATAATCCCCTCTCTCAACAGATTGGGTGCTGACTCAGCCACTGATAATATTCCACTGTCTCGTTGCCTAGAATAAACCTTTGGGGTTCTATCAAATTGATTCTTTATATGGTATCAGAGCCTATATGCCTAAGTGATTATGAATTTGATCATCATTGTCTCCCATTCTATTAATAAATAATTAAATATTGCGAAATTTCTTAGTAGAAGTAGGTGGACCTGTGCATTGTCCACTCTTAAAACCCAATGGGCTCTTGTTTGAGGGAGCATGTTAGAAAAATATGAAACTATTAATGTGGCCTTCACCTATATAACGTAAGTTTTGAGTTGAATTGGTTCTGTACATATAGGGGTGGTAATTGTCGAAAGAGAGAATTATTTAGAGAAATTGAGTGGATGACACATTATCTGGTATTTATTGATTGATTTAAAATCAATTAGAGAGTAATCTCAGCTGAAAAAAAAATCTCTGACTAAATAATAAGTAATTGATTACTGTAATCCAAAACATCATCATCATTTATTTAGTTGGCTATATAGTTAACCACTAACTGTATGATCACTATCGACAACAACATTAATGTTGATTATCATAATGTAATCAATATAAATATAGTTGACTATATATTCTGTCCTAAATGCTAATACTGCTAATATTCTAATAGTAACATAATCTTGAATTCTGTTCCTGTGCATATCATCTTAAATTACTTGGAAAAGATGAGATTGTGGTCTCTGGTTGAAGTTCATAACTATCACTTGAAATACAGTGCTTTTCTTGTCAATGAACTGACTAATGCTTCTCTTGAATTAGGTTTCCAAAAGCATGCTTGAAATTGTCAAACTTGCTGTAAGTCAAGCACAGAAAAGTAGTAGATTATCTGAGGATACATATTTTAGCCGGATTACCAGTTCTAGAGGGGATTTTGATCCTTTTGATGGTGAGGTTGCATATCAATTTGGGCAAAGTATAGCTTAGATAATAATGAATTGTGCTGGTTAAAATGTAGGACTCTATGTTGGTGCATTTGGCCCTTATGGCATTGAAATAGTGCAATTGAGGCGAAAATTTGGACATTGGAATGATGTGGACAATGAAAACAACGCTTCAGATATGGAATTCTTTGAATATGTTGAGGCAGTGAAGTTGACTGGGGATCTTAATGTTCCTGCTGGCCAGGTTTGCACTTTTAATCTCGTGATCCTTCTTGTCATAATATATCATATACTTCTATTAAGTTTATATGTGAGGATGAAAGGAAAGCCAAATTTTATTTTCGGTTTGTAGGTGACATTCCGTGCTAAAATTGGCAAGGCCAATCGCAAGGGCAGCCGTGGGATGTATCCTGATGAAATAGGAGTGGTAAATGCACTATACAATTGGAAGCTTCTGCATGTGTGTGCGCGCGCTGTGCATTAATATGAGTGCATGCTTGTTTGCAAATTCCACTCCAAACGATCATGCTGGACCTGTTCCCAAACAGTCTTTTATGTTATAACCTCACTCTTGCTGTCCTGCTTAACTATCTGCCCCATTTAATTCTGATTTTTTGCCACTGCAGTAGCCCATTATTATATTGTATTGTTAAATACTTAAATCTCCTAACTTCTTTTAGTATTCAAATAAACGTGAACTTTAAATGTGAGAGAATTGCATTGCTTCTCTATATTATAATTTTAAGTTATTTCACTGGCTGGCCGTCAGTATCAACTGACGTCACCATTCAAAGTATAAAACAAATAATGATAAAGGTAACTCTGCCAATCAATTAAGCTTTTGCTTCAATTTAGTTGATTGCAGATACTTTTATATGTTTTCAGACCCATATATTTTTATTGGTTTGCATCTTTTCTTCTTTGCCTGAGTTTTCATTTTTGAGTTTTGTCATTTTGGTCACGTTAGATTTGTTCTGGAGACATGCAACTAATCTGAAATACTGCACTCATTTACTAACAGGTTGCAAGTTATAAAGGCCAGGGAAGAATAGCAGACTTTGGTTTTCGAAATCCAAAATGGGTTGATGGGGAACTGCTCCAACTTAATGGCAAGGTAAATCGTTGGTTAGATGTCTTGCATTTTTTTCAATGTACAAGCATGATTATTGATCTCTATCAGCAGACTTTTTCTGTTAGAGTTTCTGTTGAAATTTTTCTGTTCTGTTATCATATTTAGGGCATGGTACCATACATGAAAGGTGCAGATCTTGGGTTCCTTTATGTTGTGCCTGAGCAAAGTTTTCTTGTGCTATTCAACCGATTGAAACTACCAGAGTAAGCCACAAGACCCTACTCCTGTCTAATACCTTTCTTCTCTGACGCAAGGTGGGACATGAAGGATTCTGACACAAGAAATGCGAGTACTATGTTACCTTTTTTTATTTAGCGATAGTTTTACCAAAACGCAGGCACTTGAAATTTTTCTAGCCCCAATCCTTTCAGAAGTTAATTTTTTGTTGTTCCTTTACCCAATCTCTTTGCTATCATCATGTGTATATAAATTTTGCTGACTGACAAAATAGTGTGATAGGAACTCTAGAAGGACCTTAAGGGATCTTTTATGTGCATTATGGGCTATGGCTGTGTGTGCCACTGTGCCTCCTTTCTTGTTTGTCTAACTGCTTGAAAGGAAGCAATTAATAGTTAAATTTGATAATAAAGAGCTGCAGACCTGTGGTAATTTGTCCACAAATTTTGTTTTTTGTTTTTCACCCTGAAAAGGTGAGCTGTTGTGGAGCGCTAGGTCTATACCTACCAAGGGTAAAATATCTGAGTGTATGTGTGCTCAAAGTAGTAGTGGTATATGGACCAAAGCATAGAGAGTCATCGTAGGTGCTATCTCAGGTAAGACTGAGAGAGAGGAAATGTGTAAGGGCACGATGATTTTAGAATTCAGCAGAATAATAGCTCATGAAAACAATAGATGCAAGATGCTTTTTCAATGAGAGAAGATGGATTTATATAGGTGAGAGATATTCCCTAATGATATGAGAGTGAGAGCCTAATTGTGTTTGCCCATTATCTCACTGTTGTTAGTTAGGATGCACAGCACTATACGTACGTGGTGAGCTGTGCAAGGGGATGAGGGATCCTCTAGAGTGAGGTCTAAGTGCTCATTTTAGGGAGGCAATGGAGTGACTCCTTAATGTGCCTTTACAGGCTGGTCCATAAGAAAAGGAAATAATAATTACAAGTTTTATGCTTCTTATGCCCCCATAAAAAAGAATGAATATGGTTAAGGTATCGGCAGCTAAAAAGGTGATTCAAGATAAGGTGGGGAGAAAGATGCTTTTGTAGACCATTGTAGGTAGATTCCTGTATAAACCTATAATGCTTTTGGTGTTGCGGAGAGAGATAAAAGTTGTCTTGTGAGAAAGCTAAGAGCTGCATTATTTAGCTGGTTGCTTCCCATCCCTTGTATGTTTTTATATGAATAAATGGCATTGAAACGCGCATGAGGGACCTTTCCAGTGGACGCTGGGTTAACTCTGAGAGGGAATTTGTGTCTTTATCACACTGAAGATAGCCCACTATCAAAAGAAATCAGATAACTTTCTGCATTGAAAAAAGTTTGTTTAGATTTTAATTAGACCCACTTGGATTTCCTTCGTTTATTTACTATTATAGTCCAACTTAATATCGAGCATGAAGAAAAAAAAATTAAGAAAAGGTGTGATTGGATGTTCACGTATCTTTATTTAACAATTCAAGTTTATAAAAAAAGAAGAAGTTAATTCTTAACATATTATTAGTGTCTTTATGATTAGATGGTCTGGAGTTTTATCTTCATCATTTTTATTTTTCTAATAGAAATCTTGAATCATTTATACTTTTGAGTCTTAAGAACTCTTAATTGAGAGAGCGTTAAAATATAAAATATGCAATTAAAAATGCATTTGTTTTTACTTTAACAATTTAAATTATTGAAACACTTAATTTTTAGCGTGTATTATTAGAGATGGAATTTGGTGCTCCTGCCTAATGGCGGATCCAGAAAATTTTATTTATGTCTGCACACTTAGTGGCTGGGGTTTGGGGGTAGCGTCTCTCATTTTTTTCTTTAAAGAAAGTTTTAAATACATTAAAAAACAAAAGAATATAAGCAGGAAAAGAAAAGAAAATTTCAACTTAACATAAAAAAATAGTAATCAAGAGTTAACTAAGCTATTACAATAGAACGATTACAAAAGCGTTTTTCGATTCTTCATTCCTTGAAAATATTGCATTATATCTTTATCATCAATCTTATCAAATATATCACGTTCAACATAAGTTAGCGTGCATGCGTTAAACTAATCATCACTTATCGATTGCGCTACTTATCCTTAATAAAATTATAAGCATTATCAAGATTAATAAAAGATACTAGCTATTATAAATATTTATGAGAAGTGGGCTAATTATTAGTACTAATAGCTTATTATTATTAAAAATTATTATTTTATATATAAAAAAAATAAAAAAAAGGATGGCGGCCGCCGCGGCCGCCAATGCGAGCCCCTCCTTGGATACGCCACTGTGCATAAGACAAAATTATTTCGTACAACATGAAATATAATGTCCCATTATTATTTTATGACTGAAAATAAGAGTGCAAGATTAATTATATTAGTAAGTAGGGAAGCATCCAAAACTCCGGAGGCATTGGGTTGACTCGAAACCTGTTGAATAAACCTAGTATCTATAGTTGCAAGATTTATTTATATTTGTAAGTAGTAACATACATACAACCTACACGCACATGAAAAATTGAAAAAAGAAGAAGAAATATTTGCATAAATAATTATGATATGTACATAATTTAAACCATTTCAAAAACATTAGTGTGACCAAAATCTCATCAAATGACTTGTACAGAGATCAAGGAAAAATGATAAGTATTATTAAGATTTGACTAGGGCATTGGAATACTCATTCTTTCAGCAATTTTATTTGGATTTGATAAGTATTAAAAAAGTTTCTCCCAAAAAACTTATGTCTACACTTGCAGACAAAGACACGTCCGCCAATGTTCTCGCCCACAAGATATTGGATGGGGCGGAGGAAAGAGAGTGAAAGAGAGATTGAGGAAAGAGGAGGGAAAAAAAAAGTTTATGTGTCGCTCCCTTAATGGGAGGATCACTACTACGGTTAAGGAGTATCTTAAAATTTTTCATATTATTAACGTATAGACATTATTTTGTGATGAATTTTTTGGTCGCAAACTTTGTCTTTGTATTGGGTCCATCATAATAAGTGTTTATTTTGTTTAGGTCATACAATGGCATTAGGATTAATTTATCTAATTATCTAATTTTATGTTACGTCATTAAAAAGAATCTCATCATGGCATCACAATGCTCACACTGATTACATCAATTGGAAAACGGCAAGAGGATGATAGTATTATAACTAAAATAAATAGAGCTATATGAAACTCCAACAAAATTAGAACTACAAAAATTATCAAATATAATGTCAAGTATTGACAAATGGCTCTCATTAACCAATTAAAGATAATAATAATAATAGTTGTTGTAAACAAATATTAAACTGTTGTTTATTCAATGATTATTGTTGATCAGGATGAACAATAATTATTCATGTAATAGCCACCCAGTTATTGTTATCAATCAATCATAAATGAGAAATAGTCATTGACAATAAATATCATTTGTTGACCAATGAAGGATGAGCTATAATCATTTACATTATAGTCATCCATTGACTGTTATTAGCTGATTAAAGATGAATAATAGTCACTGACCATAAATATCATATTACTAACCACTTAATGACTAATTTTTATCACTAAGAAGAAAAGCAATAATCATTTACGCGTGCTTAGAAACTCGCAAAATGTATTTTTTATTTATTTAATATACTATGTCTATCATTTTTTTTTCTCTTTTACTTTGACATGAGAAAAAATTATTATTTTTATTTTATAATGAGTATTTTTTATTAAATGAACCCATAATTAATGAATAATTATCTATGTAGAACAGATACCGACACGGGACACGTGACACTATACGACACGACACTCCGACACGTTAATTCTAAAAAATATTAGATTTCGACACGTTAGGACACATTTTGATATTAAATAATACTTTTAATTTATGTAGTGTGTATTATATTTAATATTCAATAATTCAACAAAAAAATGAATCTAAACTTATAATATTCATAAATTTTGCACAGAAACATAAGATATCTCAAATATTTATATTAAACTCAATAAAATGGTAATCGTAATCTAACAAATCTAATAGTTGGAATTAAAAACTCAACGCAACGCAATCTTTGAACCTTTTTTTGAATTTCAATAACGCGCATTGAAGTGTCGGAGAGTGTCCGAGTGTCCGAAAGTGTCAAAAACTGTCAAATATGACACGTTTAAATTTTTAAAGTGTGAGTGCTTCGTAAATAATTATTGCTTGATTAAATAAGTGGTGAAGATTGAGAACATGTATAAAATATTCGTCGTGAAGTAACTGGACCCATAAAGCAAATGATGTGAAGAAAGTGAAGGTCCTGTATAATTGAATCGACGTGTGGCATTTGTCTTTACTCTTTACACTAAAAAAACTCGAAAGAAACTAAAGCCACATAGTCATTCTTTCTTTCTTTCTCTCTTCCTTTAAACTTTTTTTTCCTCTTTCCACCACCCAATCAAACCTTTTCTTTTTCATTTGTCTTCCTTTCCTCTTTATTTTTCTATTTTATTTATTTTTTCTTTCTATCTTTTAAAATCCGCGAAAGGCAAAAGGCATTGAAATGGAAAACGTAGCATCGCATAATTCAAACGGACGTTGCTGCCACCATGAAAAAATCGGTGTCCAGAGGCTCCGAGTCATCGCCTCAGTTCGAATCGCCGAACAGCTTTCACTCTCCTATGAGTCATATGCGATGGGAGGGAGTCGAACCTCCCGAGTCGCCGGAAAAGCATGCTGACAACTCCAAGGCCATCGTGGCCGTCGGCAAGTGCACGCAGAAACCTCCGCCGGAGAACCCGCCGTCGGAGGCGGCGATTGTGTTTAACCGGCCGACAAGGGAGGAGCCGCTGCGGCAGGTGAATAAGGTGGGCCCGGTAAGCGGCGGAAGTGAGCGGAGATGGAGGCCGACGCCTCCGGCGGGTTGGAAGACGGAGGAGGTGGTTAGGAAGGCGGCGCTAGGGTTTCGGTTGAGCGAGGTGGTAGTGTGTCTGATTTCGTTTTCGGTTATGGCTGCGGATAAGACACAAGGTTGGAGTGGCGACTCCTTTTATCGCTATAAAGAATACAGGTATCAACAATTTCCCTAAATTTTCTTCAAATTAGCTTAGGTTTATTATTGAATCCCTTCTAAGGTGTGAAGATCAGATTTATAACTTGTAGTAAGGTTGGCTTGCTCCACGTACATTAATGCTTTTATATTATATTTCCTAGCAATAAATATCAAGATTAATGAAGTGTTCTTCATGAGGGAGGGTGCATAAGTTGCGCGATACCGTGGATACAGGTTAGTAATGTCATGCCATGGTTGGTGATGTTGGAAATCGACGGTCACACAGGTCGCAAACGAAAAGAGAAAGAGAGAGAATAGATACAATGATTTATTCTGATTCACACCAAATTTTGGCTCGTCGAGCTTCTCTGGACTATATTCACTCACTGTCACTTGTTACAAGTTACTCGGTTTACGAGAAGAATATAAATAGATTAGAAAAAATCTTAATAGCAGTTATTTATGGGCCCAAGCCCAAACTACTAAGAAAAGGAAAATTTACAATGAATCACAGGCTCACAACGGTAGCCTCTAGAGTCACTTGTTACAAGTTACTCGGCTTACGAGAAGAATATAAATAGATTAGAAATCTATTCATGGGCCAAAACCCAAACTACTAAGGAAAGGAAAATTTACAATAAATCACAGGCTCACAACAGTAGCCTCTACAGGGCCTGGGGGCGCTGCCCCCCCGGACCCCTGCTGGGCTCCCGCCCGCTCACTTGGCCAGTTGCCTTTCTGCTGATACCGACAACAAGAGTTTTCATCAGCATGCGAAGTATGAGCCATACCCAACAAGTGATAGAACGAGGATTTTAGAAGCATTTAACCCTAGGTAAGGGTTGGGTTGTTATTTTATGTTTACATTAATTGATGAAGCATGGGTTTTAGTGGGGCTAGGAACTGGTCCGTAACAGAATCTGTGTCTGAAACTCTGTATGGTCCCAGAAATCATGAAAATGATAACAATAGTAACAATAGAATGTGCAACTTGATTTAAAAATGTATTAAAATAGGGGAGAGCTGAGTTGGTACAACACACACAACAGTGATAAACAAAAAATGTGTTGCTCCTTACTCTAAGAGCAGCAAAAAGTTTATTTATTCTCCCAAATTTCTGTGTCCTATTATAAATGGTGATGGTAAAGCGTGTTGATGTGGCAGGTATTGTTTATGTGTGAATGTTATCGCATTTGCATACTCAGGATTACAAGCATGTGATCTGGCCTATCAATTTGTCACTGGGAAACATATGATCAGTCACCACCTTCGCCATCACTTTGATTTCTTCATGGATCAGGCAAGTCATAGCACTCAATTTCTATTCATAAGTTTTACTTCTTTTCTGTTAGAAAGTGGGCATATTGTTGCCCAAGTGAAAACTTTGCGTTACTGTGAATTTAATGCTTTACTCTGTGATTGTACTATTGTGTATGTGGAAATTTTGCACTTCTACAAGAACCAAAGCCTTTTTATTTTGGTTGAAATTTAAAGATATAACATTTTGTGACAAATTGATGAGCAGGTTCTGGCATATCTTCTGATATCAGCATCATCATCTGCAGCCACACGGGTTGACGATTGGGTTTTGAATTGGGGGAAAGACGAGTTCACAGAGTTGGCCACTGCTTCAGTTGGAATGGCTTTCCTGGCTTTTATGGCCTTTGCTATGAGCTCACTCATCTCTGGCTACAGCCTCTGTACCCGCAGCTCTATTTGAACTTCATACTTCATAGTTCATACTAGTTGTCTGTATATACGAGTTTTCTTTTGTTTCTCTTCTCCTGTGACGCAATGCGTTCTAGACATTGTTGATGCCTCTGATTTTTCACTGTACCGACAGATTTGTGTATATTCAGTTTTCAGTATATTCCTCTTACGAATGAGAGAGGGGGTGGAGAAGCAGAATTTCCTTGTTTGGTTTTCTTTCAAATACACTTTTTAATTGTAACTTTCTTCTATAAAAATCTTGTTACAAGTCACAGGTTATGTCCTGATTGGAAGTACTGTAAATCCAGAAATGAGGCCTTGTTTTCATCTAGCATTCCCTAAAGAAATAAAGAATTTTTTTTTAACGAAATTTAGTAAAATTGTTAAAGTGATTTGTTTAAAATAATGTCAATACTACGGTTAAGTTTCCTATATTTTTCATCTTTGGAGATTATTTACCTCTTTGCCCATACTACCGCATTCAGAAACGAAGTAAACACGAAACAAAAGCATAGAGAACATTGAGGTAAAGGTTTCCTGGATGATAAGGAGATTTGGGTTTTTTATTTTAAATTAAAAAAAAAAAATTACAGTCTCGAGATTTTTTTGTTTTGGTGGGGAAAAGTATTGGGTTAAAAAAAGCCTCATTTCAAGACAAGGGCAAAGAAAGATTTACAGTTTGATTACGTAGAACTTTGGATTTGAACTCGAGTTATGCATTGACAATGAGCAGAAAGGTTATCAAGTGAATTAAAATGTCATGATCGTTTCAAGTTATTAGGGAAAGACATTTTTTTTTTCTTTGTTAGAGAAAGACAGACACTACTTGTATGTTTTTTAAGGATTCATACACGTAGGACTGTCTGATTATATTGATTTCAGGAAATGGCCCAAATGGATAAACAATGAACAGAGCACGATACCTTGGCCCAGGAGCTTATGCATTGCTGATAAGATGGCATATCTCCATATGAGCTAAATTGGGTTATGGACTGAAGTTTTTTCTTTATGTCCTTTTGGATCTTTATTGCAAAAACTCAGGCCATCTAATTGGGTCTATTCCTTCAGTTTGGGTTTTGTTAATATATAAAATTTTAGCTTCTGTTGACGGATGTATTTCAAAGAATAAAATAGTTATACTCGAAAAATCAGCATCTGAAATTGTAATTATATATATATATATGGGGAGGGATCATTTGACTCCAGAGTAAGATTTAAAAGTGTTACTCCTCATCCCAGCCATTGATTTCCGTTCATCCAACGGTTATCATTTAATAAATGATAACCGTTGGATGAACGGAAATCAATGGCTGGGATGAGGAGTAACACTTTTAAATCTTACTCTGGAGTCAAATGATCCCTCCCCTATATATATATATATATATATATATATATATATATATGGGTTCGCTTTTTCTGCAGTTACTGCAGATAAATTATATGCAGTAAGTCCAATACGACGTCGTTTTAAGGCGGAAATCATGGTATTTTTGTAATTTTAATTTATTTCAGGATTATAATAGTCTTTATATTTATAATTTGTTAAGATTTCAATACCAAAACGACGTCGTTTTGGTAAAAATGCAGATAACTTATCTGCAGTAACTGCAGAAATATTTTTCCCTATATATATATATGTGTGATAAATTATAAAGTTATTAAAATTTATTCGTAAATTTTTTAATCAATAATTATGTTAAACCTGCGAGAATGGACATGCGGTTCAAGGAAAATTGATTGGATACAGATTAAGCTAAGTTTTCGTGTTGATAGGTCATTTTTGTAGCTTCTATTTTTTTTATAAGCAGAAATTAAGCTAAATAAGTTTTTATAAAAGTTCTTATAATAAAAAAAGGTTTTGTTATAATAAAAGAAAAAAAAATCAAAAGCCAAAAACTTATGAGAGGAGCTTTTTTTTAAGTTGTGTCAGCTTTTTTTGAAATGGATAGTTTTTAAGTTAAATTTTTTTATATAATTATCAAATAATTTTTAATTTTATTTTTAAAGTTTTGCCAAACATACTCTAAGTTGCTGTGTGGTGTAATATGTCTTGTGTTACAGTGAAGAGAGAAATAATGTGTTCAGCCGTAGAATGCTCTAAATAGTGTATGCAAGAGGTTGGGAGTTCAAATAGCCAAACAATATGGAATCTATAGGTGTTTGTAGAATGTTCTAAAATGATGACATGTGACCTATGTAGCACCGATACGACACGCGACACGTGACACGACACGACACGACACTCCGACACGTCAATTCTAAAAAATTATGGATTTCGACACGTTGGGACACGTTTTAATATTAAATAATATTTTTAATTTATATAGTGTATATTTCATTTAATATTTAATAATTTAACAAAAAATGAAACTAAATTAATAATACCCATCAACACGTTATAAAGATGGAAGCTTTAATAAAAAAAATAAGAACTGAGATGAGAGAGAGATATAATATCAGATAGAGAGATCAAATCATATTACAGAGAGATCAGAGAGAAGAAGATACAACAAGAGCGTGATAGGAATTGACAACAATGATGCTGAGATGATCTCTTATCTACTTAAGGGGAAAAAAGACAAAAAGATAAAATTGATATGATCAGGTGTAAGCTTTATTAATATATTTTAGTTTTTAAAAAAAGTAAAAAAAATTTAAAAAAATTACGAAAATGTCATTTGACCGTGTCGGACACGGTCAAATTCGCGTGTCGGAATGGTCAACGTGTCGAAAAAAGTCAACCGCGTGTCCGACACCGTGTCGGAGCGTGTCGCCGTGTCGGAGCGTGTCGGACCCGACTCTTCCTGTTTTTACAAGTGTCAGTACTTCCTTGCATGTGACTATGTTTCTGCAGATGAGTGGCTACATTGTCAATCGTGAAGAAAATCATGTTGATAGTAACAAAAGGCAATTATACGAAAAAATATATATGTAAATTTTGTTGAGTGGACAATTTATCCTATAAAAAATGGAAAATGGCTGCACAAAAGGCGCAATCTATTGATCGAGAATAAATTATATTTCATACTTTATTCACCAGAATACGCCCTCACTTAAAAGAGTTGAATCTTAAAAAGTTATTTATTAATTATCTGTTTTTTTTTTTTTTTTTTGATAACATTAATTATCTGTTTTAGGAGCTAAAGAATGTTACCAGTTATGGAGAACAGGGCGAAAGGAAAAAAAAAAAAAAACAAAGAATCAACGGTTGCATAAAAAGGTCCACTAATACAAAAGAAGGTAATAATGTTAAGATTATTTAACACTAACATCCAACTTTACAGATTTGTACTGAAAACTATTAATTGTTATAAAAAAAAAAAAAAAAAAACTATTAATCGTTATATATTTTAAAACCGTTTGCATGCGGACAACCAATCAAAGAATTCATGTCTATTACCAAAAAAAATAAAAATAAAGAATTCATGTCTTATTTACAATAAAATAAAAGTAAAAATTGCAGTTTTTTCATTAGCCTATTTTAATTAAGGGGAAAAAGTGTATCTTTTTTAAGAACACAATTTGTGTCTTTTTAGTATGTTTATATTATGTTTTACTGGTAAAACATAGCATTAATATATTTTTTTTTTCTCTTTTCAGTCATATCAGCTGATATCTAAAGTAAAAAAAAAAAAAAAATCGTATTATAATTATGTCTTACTGATAAGACATAATGTAAGATATTCAAATAACACATGTTGTGTCCTTCAAAAGGATATCCATTGCACCCTTGAATTAATTCTCAAAACTTTAAATTTAAATTCTACCCATATTTCTTAATAACATGATATCATCATAATATAAGAGAGAAAAATAATAAATATTTATGTGCAAGACTGATAGATTCTCTTACAAAGAAAATTTTGCATTTTTTCCAAGAACATGATATTGTCAAGTTCTTAAAAATAAAAATAAAAATCCCTAAATTTCAAAGCCTTTTACAATAATAATTTAGACTAGACCTATAATTTGGTTTATAGATTATATATGTTACGTGATTTAAATTTTAGATTTGCTTAAATGGCTAATTAATCGTTTAATAAGCATAATCTATGGGATAAATTTTGTGCTCCGAAGATAGTGGTTAGTGACAGATTTCTTAAAGTCTCAAATTATCAATACTTGAGCCTTTTCACTCTTTTAAAATTTGTTGCCATTACCTCAAAGAAAATAATAATAATAATAAGGGATAACTTCATTTTCACTGTTTGTGGTTACATGATTTGTCATTTGATTCCTGTAATTTGAAACTGGTCATTTAGACATATTGTGATTATAAAATTATATCATTTGACCTTTGTGATTTCAAGGTATCATATATATATATATATATATATATATATATATATATATATATATATATATATATATATATATATATATATATACTCATTGCAGTTATAAAAAATATATCATTTAGATCTATTGTGATCTGATTTATAGTTTTTTTCATTTTTAAAATTTTTCTTTTATATTATTATCATATTATAAATTAAAATAATAAAAAGATTAAGTATTAAAAATTAAAATTAAAATTATATGTTTATAAATTATTTTAAAGGTTATCTTAAAAAATAAATTATGTATCCAAAAATATAAATTCATTATTTTATATTTTATTAAAATTAAAAACATTATTTAAATTTTTAATGAACAGCATTATGTTAAAAAAAAATTTAAATTAAAAAAAATTGAAAAAATATATTCATGTATCTGAATAGTTATTTTAAACTTTCTATTTATTTTAAAATTTATTTTTAATTAATAATAATATCAATTGAATACTTATAATTTTATACATGTAAAATTTTTATTTTCTTTTTTTATACTATGTTACTATAACAGTATCAACTAAAATTATAATAAAATTAAATATAAAATCTATAATTATTTATTTTTTTAAAAATTATTTATTTTTATCTTGAAAATAAATTTAAGTGAATATTATTTTGTACTATATATATATTTTTTTATCTCATTATTATAATGTTATTAAAAAATAAATTAAAAATAAATAAGTTATTAAATAATACGTCTTTTATTTATCTTAAAACATTTTTAAAATTTTAAATAGTATTTTTAAAAAAATTCAAGATGATTTTTAAAGTAATTTCAAAACAAATGACTAATTTAATATTTAATAATTAATTTTATTAAAATTTTATTTGATAATATCATAATTATATAAAACAAAATTATGAAAAAATAAATAATTTTATTTTTTAAGAGCACAAATATCTAAGTGATATATTTTTGTAATCATAATAAGTGTAAGTAAAAATTC